AAAAAAAAAAAAAAAAAAAAAAAAGTTCAAAATGCTGAATTTATTCTTTTCTGAGGGCCATATCTTAATGTGCAGACACAGTGATATCAGATGAAGACGGAGATGAAACGGAACGGAACGGGACTGACACCGCCTGTGTGGTCCCCACCAAAATTTGGTAATATTTAATATTATATATATTTTAGATAAATTTAGAAATTAATGGTTAAATTACATAATTGTCCGTCTTTTATAAATATTTCAAAATTATCTTTTAAAAAAAAAATTATATGGAAATATTATTTGTAAATTTAAATGGAAAATAATTTCACTCATTTGTCTAATAATTTTAAAAAATAGCAATATAAAAATGTATGTAAATTCACTAATTTTAATAAAATTAATTTTTAGTATTTTATAATTTATTAAAAAAAACATATAAATAAAGAGTATATTTTAAAAAAAATAACGTTTTAGGAATTTTCAAATGAAAATTTATAATATGGTAAGAAATGCAACACGTTTTTCATGTTTAATTTTATGATTATATAACACACGTCGAAATTAAAACGCAATTTGAGGATTAAAATAACAAAATTAAGTGTTATTGCTACCATGCCACCATGCCACCAAACGACGCTGTTTTGAAGTAATGAACACGTCATCACTATTTGACTTTTGTTTCATGCCAGATCAGCCGACGCTTTAGCAAGTACTGATGAGTGGATACCTCCAATATCGACCACCTAGGATGGTCCTTCCATCAAATCTCCTTTTCTCTTTTTTTTTTTTTTAATTAAAAAAAAATCCTATTTTTTTGTTCGTGTCTCCACAGTTTAATTGCCAGGTGTCCCCATCCAATCACATATATTAGATAAGATGGTATTTTTTTTCCAAGAGACAGTAATGTGTTAATAATTTTATTTTTAAAAAAAAAGTGTTTAATATTTTAATTTTCTCATATATTCTAAATATAAATTATTATTTTTCTTTATTCCCAAGTATATAAAAAAAAATTCTTGCATCAATTTAAAAAAATAAATATCTTTACAGATAAAATGATTCTTGTTTTACTGGATGAAATAATTATAATAATAAATATCGGCAATAATTATCTCAAGTCCGTATGAACGTAGCTTTTAATTTAATAAATTCGAACTTAAAACTTTAAGAAAATAGTTAGAATAGATATTTTAAATTTATATATTTATTAAAAACTAATTTCCATTTTAATAATAATTTCTATTAAATCTAATAAATTTGACTTATTTTCGTGATATTTTAAATTTTTATTCATATTTTAAACCTATGGTTTCATTAATTGGATATTTAAATAGCCCGCATTTAATTGGCAATTGATTAGATTAAATGTTAGTTAATTTCAAAATTATTAAAACATTTAATAAATTGACAATTTTTAATTTACATGACTCCCCATAAATATACTCTTTACTCTCCTACACTATTTTAGAACAATGTTTGTCTTAAATTACACCTTTTTCCTTAATATTAATTTCTTTTTCTACCGTACACATACGTGTGTATATATATATATATATTATCACCATCCATCTAATTTTAGGGTTTATTATTTTTTAATTAAAATTTGGATGATTTTAGGAGGAAGAAAATAAAAATTAGCCTAATACGTTGACTTTTCTATTAAAAAATATTTTGTTTAATTAGCTGTAATTTTTGTCGCGAGAATATATGCTAAAATTACTGCATTAAAGAGTAGTGAAAAATTTTTATTTATAATTATTTACGGAATCAAATAAATTAGAAAAGAAATAAAAAGAGCAATACATGAATAAATACATGATAGCGTGTTGAACGGTAATAGAAGGCTAAATATCATTCAAGATATTTATTTTTTTTCAAATACGATACCTATGATAAACCGTAATGGAATGCTAAATATCATATAAGATATTTGCATATAATAAATTGTCAAATATTTAAATATGATACATATGGTAAACCGGAATGAAAGATTAAATATCCGCAATCATACAAGATATTTGCCTATAAAAAATGATCAAATATGATACCTATGGTAAACCGTAATGGAATGCTAAATATCATATGAGATATTTGCCTATAATAAATTGTCAAATATGATACATATGGTAATATGGTAAACTGTAATGAAAAACTAAACATCCACGATAATAAATAATCAAATATGATACATATAGTAAATTATAATTTATACAATATTACTCTCGAAACTCTTTAATTAATTGAACATTTTATTTTATGTCCTTAAACTATTAAATTAATATTAATTTTAGATTATAAGCAAGTTGAATTTAATTTATAAATCCTTCTAATTCTGTTAAATTAATTTAACGTTTTTTTAAAAAGTTTTGATTTAATATTTTAAATGGTTAATTTATATATTCTTATAATTCTGTAAAATCAATTAAAGTTTTTATTTAAATATTCATTTAATATTTTAAATGATTTGCAAGTTGAATTTATTAATCTTTATATTCATTTACTAAATAGAAATTAAATATTTAGTTATATCAAAATTTATGTAAATAAACTAATGAGGTCTTCTAAGGAAAATCTCAAGTTGACTTATTTAAATAATAATATATTGACTAATAAAACTATTTGTTTTTTATTTATTTATAATATTTTAACAATTATATAAGTATTCGAAGGGTAAAAAAGTCATCCATCAACGTGATAATCCGGTGTTTTCCAATAAATTAAATTAAATTAAACTAAAAAAAATTGAATTTCTACGCACATAAAAAAATAAAAAATAAAACATTAAAAATAAAATTTTTCTAGATTATCCTAATTTTTGGCTCTTTATGTATTATTATTATTTTGTCTTATTTACAATGTTGTTAAAAAAGAAAAAAAAAATCCTTGGATTAAATAATTGAAGAGAGAGAAAATGTGGCTATTTAAAAATATATATCTACACGTGTGCAAATTTCATCTTAGGTACTTTTATATATATATATATATGATTTAAAATAATTTTATGTTCGGTGCCCATTTAAAAATTTTTTTTAAAAAAGATTTGAACAAAGATAAAACATGTAAAAGTGAGTTTTACTCTCGTAGAAACGTTTCAAAACTAGTTATGTGTCGGGAGAATGTGGGGACCATCTATTATTATATCTAAATTGTAAATTTTGATTATATAAATATAGTAGTAAATCGACTGTTTGTTAAATAATTTATTGGGGAATTGTTAATAAAGACAAAAGAGAAGGTTTTATATTTCCATGGTTTTTTAAAAGTTGCTAAGTAGAGAATTCAAATTTAAATTGGATCAATTATTTAAATAAATAAAGAATTAAAAGAATTAAAAAATTAAATTTATGTAGAAAAGAAAGGGTTTGGAATCTTATTGGGTTGTTGCATACAATCATGATTAGATTCCCCATTGAAGGTACCGCTGTGGACTGGCAGCCACTGATTTCTCACAAAAACATCAACAAAAATAGGTCAACTATCCAATTAATTATCCACTTTAAATCAAATTTTAACAGCCACAACAATTTTAATTATTTATTTATTAATTAATTTAGCTCCTTAATCATACAATATATATATTTTATAAGTTTTAATAGAATTAAAAAAAAAATTATTGAAATTTATAAAATGATAAATAAACCATACAAATTTATTTAAAATTTGTGTGAAATAAACATTTTCATTTTTAATTTTATTTTCTATATATTTATTATTTTTTAAAAAAAAGTTTGAATCTACCTATACAAAATTGAAAATATCTAATTTTATTAGATACATATTTTAATTTTATATAAAATATACCAATTGGTTTTTAAATTTTTTTTAAGATATAATAAATTTCATCTATGCGACGTATTAGTTATTTTTTAAAAATTTAATAAATCAGCAAAGTATTAAACACAAAAATAAAAATTATTTATTAGACGTAGAATTTAATAAATATATTAGTTAATTTTTAAACGATTTAAAAAATATAATCTCGAATATCGGGAAGATTCCAAAGCCTCCACTTTTCTCTTAATAATTGAGTTAGCATGTTCATAAACATAGGTTTGAAAGCAACAACCATTTTTGTATGATATGGGCACATAGCACAAATTTGGATCATAATGTCTACCTCTATATATATATATATATATATGATGGGTTGAGTCACGATGCATATAATAATAATTATTACTATATAGTAAAATATTCCATATTTATTTTGTTGACTATATATATATATATATATATAATTTGTAACATGAAGCATTATCTAGAATTAAATTTACGTTTGAAAAGACATCAACGAAATTTGAAGTCTGATCCAAAGACTTTAGTAAAAGTAATGGAACCTCAATAGGTGGTTCTTGCAATGCCAAATTTCCATATTTTAATCTTATATTGTTCCTAAATTTTCATATTTATTTTATGTTTATACTTTCATTTTTATTCAACAAATTTTGAATATATTTCGTATATGATTTACTATATGTTTGCTTTAAGGAGTAGGGATGTTTATATGTCTCGATTATACAACTAATTTGGACTATTTAACCAAAACCATAAAAGTGTTGGATGAAAGTCCCACCTCCACTAATTTAGAGAATGATCATGGGTTTATAATCAAGGAATACTCTCTCAATTAGGGCGAGGCATTTTGGGGAATCCCAAAGTGAAGTCATGAGAATTTATACTCAAAGTGGACCCGTTCATGAGTTGACATTTTTGTGATAAGGTGAACCTAACCAACTTGAAAATAATGGGTTGGGTTGTGAACTTTATTCGGGTTGTTCGGGTCACTATCCTAGCGAGTTTTCAAGTTAGTTCAAAAGATTTTTGAAACCCAACCCGAGTTTTCAAGTTTGCTAACGTGGACTTTCTTAAACCCAGTGAATGTCATTTGACCATAAACACTCGCAGCCGAGACTTGTTAAGTCGACCTCTCAAGGCTCAAAAGTCGACGAATTATATTTGCACCTACTGAAGTTGGTCCTATCAAAAGCTTCTAGTTATGACTTTTGGATCGTTTCTCTATCTATCACCATAGCCGCCTTGGATCGACGGTCACGGATCATAACTTTTTATGTTATATGAAATTTTAATATCTTTTTTTTTGTATTATTTATTTAAAAATGTCAATAACGTAAGCTTCTTAGATCATTTCATCGTAGTAAGAGAGAGAATAAAAAAAGGACATTTGATTTTTCCAAAAAAATAAATAAATAATAAATAAAATTGATAGTTTTTCCTGAAACCGACAGTTTAATACCGAATAATTTTGACATCTAATTCTTTGAAATAATAGTTTTTAAGTGATAGGGAAAGGTTCAACGAATCTATATATATATATATATATATATATATATATATATATATATATATATTTATTTATTTATTTATTTATCAGTAAATTAAAAGAACCAGTAGGGTTGCAGAATATAGTCAAATCTTATAAATATTCTGTTTTGTTTTATTAGTTCAATATTCTCCCATTTATAATTATAAGTTTAGCGTGTGAAACCATGTCAATTTAATTCTTTGATTTTTGTAAATATTTAATAAGTCAAAACTTTTAATTTTATATTTTATGGATTTTAAATAATTGTAATTTATCTATTAAATTTAATGAAATATATGATATATTCGTAAATTTTTTAAAAAAATATTAGAGTTAAAAGGATTAAATTTGTAAAAGAAATAATAATAATAAAAAACAAGGTTGCTTCCTGTCTAAGTGGAAAAAGAAGGAAGTTACGTGGAAATAGCACGTGATGAAAAGTCATTTAAATATTCAAAAGTGGTAAATATCTTTTTTGACTTCAATAATGCTTTAATAATAAATTTGAAAATGAATTTTAATGAGGGGGAAAAATGGGCCTAGCTCGCCGAATAACGTCGTAATAGATCGGAAGGCTGTGATGGACCCAACCATCCCTTAAGCGTAAATCATCATAGCTTGTTGTACTAATTGCACCAGCCGGGAATCAAACTCGAGTCGGGTACTATTCTACTACTAGACACACACACACACACACACACATATATATATATATATATATATATATATATATATATATATATATATTTTTAATTTAAACTACAATGAAATTAAAAACAAAATGAATTATTATAAATGGGTATTTTCCTATCCAATTTTCATAATGTAGTGTTGAATGAGAATGTTTCCCATCTAATTGTCTAAGTGGAAAAAGAAGACACGGTATTAAAAAGAAAAAAAAAACAAGCTCAGTAACGCTTATTGTCATCCGGGAGGATGATTGGCGTGATGGACCCACCATCACGGAAAGCGTAATTATCTTCACAGCCTGTTAAGATGCAACAATCGGGAATCGAACCCGGGTCGGTCTCGTAGTAAAGTATTACTGTACCACCAGCTCAATGTTGCTATTGTAAAGTCCCTTTGAACTCTTTTATTTTAATACTTAGTTATCTAAAATTAAATAAATTTGACAAAATTGTCGGAAATGTTTAATTTTCCTTTATTTATATAAAATTTTGATAATATTTCTTATCCAACCGGACATATTATTTCCGCACGTGTCTAAACAAACCGAAAAGAACAAAGATAAACAATGGAGAAGGGACAAAAGACATTTATACTCCTGACTACAAGACAAATTATATTATCTATTTCTCGTAAAAAAAAAATTATTAAAGTTATTAAAATATTTTACATTTTTATAACAGAAAAAAATATAGAATCAAACGGGTGCAAGGAAGTTTTCTATGTCCCGTCCCATAAACATCTCTACTTATAATCAATATAAAGACAATAAAAAAAATATAAAACATCTCTGCTTATAATCAATATTAGACAATAAAAAAAATATAAAAAGGAAAATAAAGAATAAAGCATTATGTTGAGAGATAATAATAAGAGGAAAAAACTTAAAGAATATTTTTAATTAGTAAAAAACGAATGGTTCTAAGAAATTCAACAAAGCAATGATCCACTCGTATACACGTCCAAATTCTTATTATTTCCTCTCCCATTCATCTTGCCCCGTCTTCCAAGGAATCTAAGTGTATTAAAAATACCCTTCTAAAATAAAATAAATCAAACCAACATTACTGTTTTACTGCTACAATCTTCATTTGCCTGCTCAACAAAAGCTTGGGTAAAACATTGATGCTGTCTTAAAAGCTTCGATGTCTTTAATGGCTACCACCGATTTTGGCAGCGTCTCGGCCTCGATCAAGTTTGCCTCGCAACCCCATACTCGAATTGCGAGTCGTCGACATTTGGGCGACGGTTCTTGCAAATATGTTTTGTACCAATCTATAATGTCATTCTTTTGAATGCTTTTCAATTCCTCTGCTTCCTTCTGTGAGAAATCGAACATGTACCTGAACAGAAATGGTATTAATATGTAATAGGATGAAGGCGTAGATTGGCCAAAAGGATTTCATGTTTCTGATTTCAACTCCCAAATGGTATTATTATATAATAGGATGAACGATACCTCTTATCGATGATCTGATTCCATATTCTATTGGTCTCATAAGAGAGTGAAGGATCCTTCTCCAGCAGCTTAGCGATTAGTCCATTTTTATAATTCTCAAAAGAAGCTTCATCGAGACCAAGCTGGATAACAACAAATTTTCAGATATGTAAATGATATGATGCTAAGATTAAAATAAAGTTCTAGCAATATTGTTGCAGAAGGGATTGGGGAAGGCCTGGTCTATGATTATGCTGTGAAATGAAGAACGCAAAGGGATTGAGAAACTGAACTTGCATAAAAAAAAAGATGCAACACTACAGGGGCTTACAAAAATAAAACCCACAGAATATGAGCCAAACTAGGAGGCTCCACTAAAGAATAATTACAAAATAATTTTGTCACCAACGGCCAGACAAACATTGACAAAGCCTAGAAGAGAAATATGGAATCTTAAAAAGGAGCTAATATCACAAGTGTGAGATTCCAAGTGTGAGATCCCACCTCGATTGAAGAGAAGAACGAGTGCCAGCAAGGACACTGGCCCCAAATGGGGGTGGGATTCTGAGATTTCACATCGGTTGGAGAGGGGAACGAAACATTTTTTGTAAGTGTGTGGACACCTCTCCCTAGCATATGCGTTTTAAAAACCTTGAGGGGAAGCTCAAAAGGGAAAGCCCAAAGAGAGAACAATATCTGTCCGCGGTGGGCTTGGGCTATTACAAAACACGAAGATTGTATTATTCCTCCCATCCCTGCCAATGGCCCCACAAGATAGTACAAATCCCGGCTCACCACAAAACCTTCCTTTCTCACAAGATTAAAAATCCCAACCATGAGATCGATCAAGTTTTGAAACACATGAAACCATATATATCATTGAACATAGCTGCTACATAGACAGCGGGAAAATTAGGGGACAGCTACTACACAAACTACATTAACATGACGAGACAGAATCTCCAGTAATGCTCATATGATAAATTGATATAAAACTAATGAAAAGCCAGTAAAGATAGTGACAGCATGAGAAAGGGCTTGCACTGACCAGTAATTCTTCCAAGCCAGATATAAAGTTCTCAAATCTCTCTTGCAAAAAGATTGGACTGTACTCGGATGATTGAACAGAGAAACAGAAACCATATATGCGGTATGTTACCCGTGGGCTGCATTGGACAACATAACCAAGTTGCTCCTTTGTCCTGTACCATTCAGAGGTATAACAATTATCCTACATCAGAACATAAACGAAATCTGTGCAAATCCCTATTATAAAAATTTCTAGTCAACTATTCAACATTTTCTATTAAAAACATGCTGATTTCATACACGAGAATTTAAGGATTTGTGAAAGATAACTGTCATGGTTTGCTTGCTTCGCTTGTATTGAAGTAGTAGAATACACTCTTACTAGCAAGTGAAAAAAGAGATATACAAGCACCTTCTTCACAATAATGAGATTAAATTAATTAATATTATATAGCAAAATGCATTCTATCACAAGCACATTTGGTCCAGAAGATCTATTTGTCACACTCGGACACAATGAGCTCCCTGCCTAGCTGTCCCCCCAGCAAAACCCCTAAAATCTCGGGGCGGGAAGTATTTATACGCCTAGGCTGACTCGGATGATCAGAGTTCCGTTTCCTTATTGAATTTCTCAGAAAAAGGAAGGTGACAATCAATTCTGATCAGATAAGGTAGCTAGAGACCAAGAGTTGCACCTTTCCAAATTACAAAATCACGTTTGCCATCCCCCACTCGATTCCTAAGTGCATAAAAGAAAAAGGAACTCTTGAAAGGACAGAAAAAAAAAATTCTCACAGGCTTTTCCCCAGATTCACTAGATGCAATGGGGATAAGACGAGGAAACTGAAACCTTAGGATGAAAAATGAAAAATGAAAAATACGAATGAGTAGTCCCTCGAAAGCTGACCGAGCAACAAAAAATATTTCCAATTAACAAACAAGAACGCAGGAGCTGCATGAGGAAAAATAAATAAATAATATGACATCTCACAATAAGCCAAATGGGCTCATCAGAACTTCAAAAATAATGAAATAAAATAGAGTTTCCTTTGCGAAAGAATCTCTCTTAAAAATCACCTTAGCTGATTGAAAAGTGGTTCGTCAATAATTTCATCAAATAAGTCAATCAGAGCCTTTAGTCTGATCGATTCTGTTCCAACCTCCGGCTCAATTTGAAAGTACAGCTGCAACACGAGACAAAAAGTAAAAGCACATCAAGAACAATGTTGACCTGAGCTATCAGATAAAATCGGCAATGGTAAACCAGAGTAAGACTAGGACAAAGAAATACATTTCATTGATCATTACCTCCAGCACAGAATTTCTCTCCAATTTATTTTTTACACTGACGTCTCTAACAAGACTAGCCCCAGGAGGTAGACATATTACACGCTCATAATGCCTCATTCCAAGAGGAAGTGGTTGTACAGAGAAGTTGTCTTTAAATATGTTAGACAGGTTTATTGCTTCTTCTTCTAAGAAATTTCCATGGCAAAGTCCCTCAATGTAAAGCTGCTCCAAAAAATAAAAATGTCATCCTCAGAGAATAGGAGTGTCTCCCTATAGTACATTATCGAGAAATAAAATGATAATGAACCAACAATTCATTCAATTTATTAAATGCCATGGAAACTATCAATTAACGAAACTGAGGACAATAAAAGTAATGAATCCAACAATTGTTAGTGATATTCAATGTCAAGAATATGAGGCAGTATTTTGAGGTGAGTGCCTGGTGGTCCATGGGATGATACCTGGGATAGAAGCACAGGGATATGCGCCTTCAACTCAACAAAAGACAGGTCATTTAGGACATTACTTTTCTCATCTGCGTCATAGAACCTCTCACACAGAACTTGTAATCTCAAGTATGACGAGTGGCTTCGAGGCTTCATATTGGTGTTTCTCAAATTCCTCTCCATATTTTCTTTAATTACCTTTATAAAGTCTGTGTCAGTTTTTCATTGTAAACCAAATACCAAGAAGCAATCATTAAGACTAACTCCCAAAATCCAAGAATAAATTATGCCATACACCTTAAAACGATCTTCAGAAGGCATAAATGTCTTGGCAGTTGATAAAAGTTTAGCCAGAAGATTAGGAAGCTTATCATTGAAACCAAACACCTTCAGCTCCAGCTTGTCACCAATAATAGCTACCGAAGTTTCCAGCTTGGCAATGCTAGCCTGAAAAGGACGAAGATAAGCTCACAAATTTAAATGATCCGTGGTGAGTTTTTATGGTAACCACTATAACGATTGAAGTCTTAATAGAAACGACTAACCATAGACTGTTTATAAAACAGCTGAGGATAACAACCCCTCAGCCTCTCTCACAAATATAGCAAGAAATGTAGTAATATAAAAACATAAGTGGTTAACCTGGTATATAATCTCATTCAGCTTGTCCTTAAGGAGGTGAACAAATAACTCGGTCAAAAGACAATTTTTCACACTACTGTACCCCCCACTCAAATTAATACGAAAATATGTATTCGCCCGAGGAAGTTTAAAAGAATCATCCAGCTTGTACCAGAACTTCATCAATGGTTCATCAAGTATGCATCTTGGACAAGACTCGCAGGAAAGGTCATTACAAACTTGACTTGCGCGAATGGAAAAATCACACGGAATGAATTCATTCTTTGCAGGCAGATGAAGTGAAGCATCAATTTCAGGAGGGTCCCTCCACAGATCCATCAAAGAAGGAGCAATATCATCCACAGTATAATGTGATCCAAACCAGGGTTCAACTTTGAAGTCTGAAAGAGAGAAATTTAGCAACTTGACATTGAATATGCCACTTATAAGCTTAAGTACTAATTGGCAGAACATGTCATGTTTTAGAAGACATAAAAATTAATTCCACCAAAAAATATTCCATAGATGTCTAACTCCTCAGTATTGAAATCCAATTGAAGCGTTGACGCTCGCTCTGCTCAAGCACTCATCAAAATTGCAATAGCTCTCCTCAAAGACTATTCTCACACCCCAAACCAGTTGCATAAGCCTATTTTAGTGTAAAAAAGTACAAATTCCTGTAGACACATCCATACAGAAAATTGTACAAGTATAATGCTGCCATGATAATTCTTTTACAGTGCTTATACCCCTGACCGATTCTTAATCCAAAATATTTCTTTTCTTCCCATATTGTTTCAGATTTATTTCATAGTGCAGATGGACAGGCATATCTCTTATAGGCGGACAACATCAGAGTTTTTCCTTTTCATTTAGTTTTTTTTCTGAAGCCGAAATGGACATAACTTGTAGAAAACAAACTTGACATACCTTCCAGCTTACTGAAAGATTTTGATACAATATCAATCCTCATGTTTTCTGGTGTAAATAAACCAATAATATGCTTGACCAAATCCACGTCCCATATCTGATGTACATAATCCCCAAAAATGACATGTTCTGGTGGATAAAACGTTAAATTCTCTGCATAAAAGAATTAGAATAGTTAATAAATGGCGGGAGTTCGTAGCTAAGAAAGTTTAGTCAAGAAGAACATTCACAAAACTCCAACAGTCCTTCAATGCTTGACCATCATGTAGAAATTTTCAAGTGAAAGCGGTGGTACTAAATCACCATTAAATGACATACATTAAAATTAAAAATGTTACATGAAAAATTCACATGCATGCTAATAACAACAATTTTGTAAGAACATTAACCAACCATCCTTCGTCTACTTCTTGACGTTTTTTTATCCAAATGGGTGAGCTAACTATACAGCTAGTAATTGATATTGTTTCAAAGCAAACAGGTGAAGGGAATAAGTTTCACAAATTTATTATCAAATTTATAATTTACATGATTATCCAAAATATATGGATACCAAATTCAAAACTAGAAATGCCATTAGAAAAAGAATCATGAAAGTGAACATTCTGGATGCAAATCGCACCCTAGTTGATGGTTAGAGTTGACCACGAAATAACCTGCAAGTTCTGCAGCATAGTCATCCTGAGGCTGCTCCTCAGCAAACCTAAAGTCCATGTTTCCAATGTCCTGGAGTTCCCTAAAGATCCACTCTTGAGGAGAAACTTGTCGTAGCAACTTAAGGTATTGATAGACATAGCCAATAATCTCAAAGATCTGAAGAATGTTCATCCAGGGTTAGCAAGGCATGACAAGCAAAAATCTATATGGCTAAAATCCATACATTTCTATTCTATTTTGTAACAAACATATTTCATTTCCAGAAACAGTTAGCTACAAAAGCAAGGGGGATTAGATATCCACCCATAACAAATATTAACTGAGAACTGCAAGCTCAAAACTTCAGCTGGTTTTCAAGATTAAGAGAATCATAAAATATACAAACACAAGCAATCTGCCGAAAATATCTACCTCAATGTAAGAGTTACAGCAGTACCTTTTCTAAACCAGAGTCAGTCAGATATATTGACATTCCAAATACGTAAGCTATAGAAGACCGATACATTCCCTCATCCCCAACACCAGCAGATAAAGATGTTGCCCATCCTTTCGCTTTCAGAAAGAAATGCAAGCTTCCCTTGCCCTCTGGAAATTAAAGGTTACGGAGTTGAAATTGAAATATAAAACTAGAAAATGTATGTTTGGTGCGACCGATGAACTTGAGTATCAAGATTTGGAGATGTTTCTCAGAAATTAAAAAAAAAAATCAATACCAGGAATGTAAGAGCTTTTTTTTTTTTTTTTTTTTCCCAACTGGGAACAAATGCAAACCTAGGATTTTCTTTTAATTACATAGAAACATAGCAAGTATTGGACTCGTTATTGAAGAAGTCATGACAATCTCACCATGCCCAAGGAGATGGGCAATATAATCTTCAGGCTTCTTCAGATAATTGTGTTGAAGGCACGGCAACGTCCATGCTAAGTCAAGGATGTGTACATCTTCAACAGCCTCTAGCTTGTAAAGCTTCCCAGATTGCCAGATTGGATCTTTTACTGTGAACACTGGTTTCACTTGAACACCTTTTTTAACATCATCAAACAATTCGAGAACCCAACTCTCAAGTATATCCAGAGGCTCTGAAATGCAATAGTTCGTAACTGTGTTAGAAAACTAGTCGAGTAAAAGACAATACATATAAGATTGAAAATATTATTCTTTGTCCAAATAACCTTTATGCTTTCAACACAACTGGTCCTCAGTCCTTAACATTTGAACATTAATTATTTTTTATCATTTTTTCAGTAAATAATCACGACAAAATCTAGGATAAAGAGCACAGTAAAAGATGACATCGGGTGGGGGATTCACCTCCACCAATGACAGTCAGCTTCATTAGTCCACCATGGTAATAATCTCTGAACAGTTTCAATATTTGTTCTCGCAGATTGATACCCTTTTCCATTGCATCAACCAAGCTCTTCTTATTACCTACCATTGCAAGAAAAGCATAAATAAAAATGATTTTCTGATTTTCTCACATGACCAGACTCATCAACCAGAAAAATAAAATATGGTATTGAAGCAGGCTAACCCCAGAAGAATCTGTTAAAAGGATGACCAGGTACAGATGTATAACATTGAAGCTGTTGAAGGCGGCAGGCGTCATTTTGCAAAACCTGGTTGAATTCTATTTTGCATATGTTAAACATACAGTTAGGCAGCAAGAATTTGTTAGGAGCATGACAAAATATAAGGAAAAAGGGCTTGATTGGAAGACTGTTCTGGAAACAATTTTTCATTTTATGTTTTTACAATTGATAAAAGAATTGTGATCAACTGGCTTACAAGAGATAAAAACTATTATCCCCTTGAAATCAGTAGGTAAGCTCGTGTTTTGTTTTAGCGAAAATTAACTTTGGTTTTTCTAAAATATGGTCTATCAAAAAAAACAACTAACTAACTAACTAACTAAAGGAAAACAAAAGAAAATAATTTTTAAGAAAAAGTTACACAAACATGCATACACTGCATTTATTATTCTCACAATAGAAAACCTTTTTAAAAACAGCCCATAATATTTCCAACAAGCAGGAACCCACCTGAATCAACAGCGAGTACCTCTCTTTCCATGGCTTCCATTTTTACTAGAGGTGAAATGAAAAACTGTGAAAACCTGATAAGAAAATGGATCAAATTTCATATTCAATCAATAAGCTAAATAAAGAAGTTATAAAGGCGACCATGGTTTCTAGAGAAGGAAGAAAAAAAATTATGATGGTAAGCTTTTCGATTTTGTAGAGGAATGTGTGCAGTTGGATAGACTATGGGGGCTTCTTCACGGGCTTTAATTATGTAGGGATTTTTGCAACACATTTCTTATCTCTTCTGAGATGAGAAAAACATGTATTGGAGAGACTTATAAAAGGGGTACAAATAGGAAATGGAGAATTCAAAGGAAATCAGCCAAAATGTTAAGAATAGAGGAATTTGCTTCAGCAGAACTCTCTTCGACTTATTATAATACTTTTGTAACCCGTCTCTTCTTTTTTGGCCTATACCGTTTGTGCTGAAGAGAAAAGCACTCAAAGATATTCCAATCCGAGAGGGAGGATAGAGGAAAACAAAATACAGTACCAGAATATTCAGATATATTATTTCTTACACGAAGATGCTGATAAAAACAACATTTACCTTTTCAAAGCACCTTTAAGAAACTCCCTCTTCACCTCAAAATGGTAACAGGTATGCTCCGCTTCTGTATATGCGTTTGAGGAGCCTCCATGCTTGGATAAATAACTATCATACTACAAAAGCAAAGAGTCAAACTCAGACGTCAAAGTAGTAACCTTTCATTCAAACCTGTTTCGTGCAGAGCTTAAAATTATGCACAATGGCTGTAACAGGTGTAAAATTTGTCTTGCAAATTATGTCATATCAATCGCCAACAATCTCTTGAGTTTAGACATTCAAACCAATTCGTGCATTTCAATTATTTATCCTTCAACGCTAATATTCTTTCATATGGAAAAAAAATGCTTGTAGACTAACGATTTATACAAACAAACCTCGTTTTCATCTGGAAAATCAGTACTTCCCATGAAAAGCATGTGTTCTGCAGAAAATGTAAGCATGTTATTTCCAAATTCTCGGATATTAAGTTTGTGTGTAAATGCTATAGTTCAGTATCAATGAACCACATTGTAAACCACATCGGCAATTAAAAATAATGCACGATTAGCATTTACTGGGTAATGTAACATCCCATGCCCATGATAGGTAGTAACTTTCCGTTCTTTCAAGTCTTTCTTAACCATCACATCCTTAGAATCACTCTCTATCGCATTAAAAAATAATGCAGTTATTTATCCTCCTTTACTCAGGCGTCATAGATGAACTAATGCAACAACAAGATATAAAAGTTAAAATATTAACTTGAAATGGTTAATCGTAAATGCATTCCAAGTTTATGGAATCGACAAGCGTAATTTACAACTTCACATAATTAGTAAAGTAAGAATCATTGGGAACCTACTGCAAGTAAACAACAAAATAAACTCCCAAAGAACTAAGATACCAACTGCGATATCTGAGGAAACATCTACATTTACAGCTGAAATTTGAAAGGCTAAATAAATTTCAGCCTCTGCCTGTAGAATAAATTGGAAAAAGTTCCAATGAAGTGTCCCTGCAAGAGAAATGAACGAACCTAAAAAATGAGCAAGTCCCTGAGCTTCAAAAGGATCGGAGAAGCTGCCTATTTCTACGCACATTGCAGCTGCAGCCTGTGATTTCAAACAACCCAAAACAAAGTAATGAAGAATTGAACATGCCAGTTCTATAATGTTCTTGACGAATAAAAAGCTCCTTAAAATCAATCTGTTCGTCAGCAATGATGAAAAGCTTAGTATACCGAAGATGATTCGATCAACTTATTGATTGATATGGTGTTCATCAAATCAAAGCTTATCGACCATTACTTATTTGAAATACTAGTGAGAAAATCCAAAATCGTCTCACGTAGAACTGTCACTAACCTTCTTAGTCTGAACAGCAGCTTTAATCCCCTTCCTTCTTCCTTCATCATCAGTACCTTGGCCTTCCTCTTCGTCTTCTTTGTCCTCGTCTTCCTCCTCTCCTTCGTCATCGTCGCCTTCTTCTCCTTCCTCCTCGTCCTCGTCCTCGTCCTCCTCCTCCTCCTCGCATTCTTCATCTTCTTCTTGGCTCTGCTCGGCTGATTCAGAAGCCTTGGGGCATCCATCCGGATAAATCTCAGGATCGTGAACAAGCAAAGCAGATAGGCCATTCTCCAGCTGAATGAACCTGTACAGCCTTCTGTCATTTGGCGACTTCACCACTGCATTATCTGAGGAGAACGTGGGGCGACTTGTGACCATCCTTCAATCTGCTCGAGCTCTGAACTATGGAAATGGAAGATTGAGGAAGCTGAGATAAGAGAAAGCTTTTGCTAGGTCTGCTGCGGAGCTGCAGTTCTTTGCCTTGGCCGTAATCGGCTTGCTTTGCTTTCTGCAACAAGCAGCGATTCCCCGTTAATGCTAATTCCTATGTTCTTCACTGCTTGCAATTGCTAGACTCTGCAAATGGAAACCTGACTATTCAGTGAAACGACGTGTCGGCTTCTTTTTGTTGGAGGTGGATAACCACATTGTCCTCGAGATTTCTAGGTTAAAAAATAAAAATTTAATACAAAATAATAATTATAAATATACAAATATATTGTAAATGATCTCGTAATTAAATAACGATTGTGTTGCATTTGTTCTAATCCAACAAATAAATCATCGACATAAAATTGAATTTCGTGAATAATTTAAATACATTTTTTTTAATAAAATGTCAGATACATACCTACGTACATACATATAGTTGATAAAAATTTAAGATTTCAAATAAATAATAAGATTTGTTCGGTGTGCAATTTTATGTATAACACGTGTTTGAATTGGACCAACATTTGTTGTTGAAATTGCAAAGCTCGATCAAGGTAACCCTGTTTGAAGTTGTTTTTTTGCTAGTCCTACCAGTATCTTTTATAATTTCATTTTAAACGTCTACCCTTTTAACGTGGAGCTTCTTACCAAATTGAACTATGCTCAAGTTGACTTGTTATTACTTGACAAGGGTATGCAAGACATTATTTGTTCGGTATGCAATTCCGTGTATAGCACGTGTTTGGGTTTGACCAACATTTGTTGCTAAAATTGCATAGCTCGATCAAGGTAACCCTATTTGCAAAATATATATATATATATAGTTGTTTTTTTTTTCCGCAAATATCTTTTATAATTTCATTTTGAATGTCTGACCTTTCAAGAAATAGTTGTGACTAAATTGAACTATGTTCAAGTTGACTTACAATTCTGTGTATATCACGTGTTTGGGTTGGACCAACATTTGTTGCTAAAAATTGCAAAGCTCGATGAAAATAACCCTATTTGCAATATATATATATATATTTTTCTTTTTGTTGTTTTTTGGTAGTCCCGCAAGTATCTTTTATAATTTCATTCTGAACGTCCAGCCTTCTAAAAATGAGCTTGTGACCAAATTGAACTATTCTCATGTTAACTTGTTATTATTTGAAAATGGTAAGCGAGACATTATTTTAAGACATAATATTAACTCATAACTATTGTAGAAGAATAAAATATTTGAACGTCTAATTCATTTAAGCTTAATAAAATATTATCGACATCTTTATAACATCGTTCACACAATTCATTTCATAAGTCATTTAAAAAATATATATATATATATATTCAAACGTATTTTTAAACAATTTTTAATATAATCATGAACATGAAAAATTTCAATTTATTATTATTATTATTTTTTACTAAATCTACGACATACGTTACATCATTTATAATATTACATGTATGATAAATATTATTTGATTTGAAACAAATAATTTTTAATTCAACAAATGTGAGCACAAAGGAACTGTTATATGGATGTTAAGTTTGTGAAATTACCATTTTAGCCCCATTTTTTGGGTGTAATTTAGCCTTTTGTTTCGTCTTCTTCTTCTTCCCTCCAATCTAAACGACATATCCTTTATCATCTCTTCTTCTCCTCTGCCTGTTCTGTTCGTTTAGCATCGAAGAAAATCTCCAATTTCTTGAAATCGAAGATCCCGGTGTAGCAGAAATTAAACCCTAATTTTGTTTTTCTGCTGGTATTTTCATCAGTTTGAGTTTTCCTCCCGTTATTTTCTGCCTCCCATTCTATTTCTTGACCATGAACGAGGACATTTGTCGTTGGATTACTGAATTCATACTCCGGAGTTCAATGGACGATCATTTGTTGAAGAGAGTTCTTGCGGTTATTCCCCTGTCGGACAAGGATTTCCGCCTGAAGAAGACGGTGCTTTTACGGGCTATTGAGAGCGAAATATCGGAAGCTGTTATAACGGAGAAATTACTCGAAATTTTCGAGATGATTGAACAGTTAGAGAAGGCTGAAGGACTTCAAATCATGGAATCGATGAAAGCTGCATATTGTGCGGTGGCGGTGGAATGCACGGTGAAGTACTTGCTGGTGGAAGGCGTTTACAAACATGGAAGGTATTTTGATGCTGTGAGGAGGATTTGGAGAGGAAGAGTGACTAAGACTGAGTTGGTTTCAAATGAATTTAAAGCATGGAAGGATGAAGTTGAAGCGTCACTTTGTGATACAAATATTCGGAAGAAATTGGTGCATATGAACACGAGATATGATGCCCTGAAATTGATCGGAGATTATCTGGGAGAGTCATGGGCGGCCATGGGTCCGTCATTTCTTCAACTATCTGCATCTTTGGTGGATAAAAAGATGAGGAATGAAATGCATTCTATTCAATTAGAGCAGGAAACAAACAATTTGGCTATTGAGAGCGTGGATGTAGGCGGCAGTGGTGGGATTGAATTGCCCTCCCAAAGGGAAAATTGTGTTAGAACAGAGTGGCAGGGAAGTGGGCGAGTCCTTAGCCAACCTGAATCAAGAAGAACTGATTTGCTACATAGTCATCAGGATTTGGGTACCAACGATGGTTCTAAACAATCAGCCGTTGATGCAATGAACACAGAGAGAGTTCAAGAGTTGGCTACAGAAACAGCGGAAGGACAAGAATCAGCTGAGAAGGAGGTTGCAGTTTTGCAGAATGCAAGTTCATGCCGAGGTGATACTGATCTACACGTCCACTCTATAATAGTTTGATGATACATGCTAGCGTACATTGGTTTTTTCGTTCATTCTATTATTGTGAGATCTCACCTTAGTTGGAGAGGAGAACGAAACATCTCTTATAAGAGTGTGGAAACCTCTCCCTAGCAAACACGTTTTAAAACCGTGAGGCTAAGAGAGATACGTAGCAGCTAAAGCGAACAATATATGCTATCGGTAGGTTTTGGCTGTTACAAATGGTATTAGAGTTAGACACCGGGTGGTGTGCCAGCGAGGATGCTGGGCCCCCAAAGAGGTATATTGTGAGATCTCACATTGGTTGAAGAGGGGAACGAAGCATCTCTTATAAGAGTGTGGAAACCTCTCCCTAGCAGATGCATTTTAAAACACGTAGTACACTAAAATGGACAATATCAGCTAGCAAAGTTAAGCATCTTAAATCCCATTATTTCTTTTTGTGCAATCAGAAATTTTGAAGACTTCTGTCTTGCCAAGAGGCAAATCCCTTGCATTTCATAGACGTGTTAGAGGAGGGGTTAAAATCAGTCATTTAGAGGATTTGGAGAAGGAGAATGAGGATGAAAGTTCATCTGAAAGATATAATTGCCTAGAAACTCCTGAAGTTAACCGGGTGCGAGAAGCACTTAAAACCAGCTCTTTAGAACTGCAAGCAGTGGTGAAAGATCCACTTCCTGATGCATTGCGCATTGCAGAATCTGTAGCTCAAGATCTTGCCGAAAAGAATAAAACTTGTGAGAATTCTCTGGAGGACCGAAATGATGCAGGTGTCGATAATCCGACCATTAACAAAGAGGCTGTGCCTCTTCAACCTATGAGTGCAAATCTTAAAGATCCAGGCCATGGCCATAAGACAGTTTTTCCTCGACCAAGCATCATGGAACGAAACAGTACAGCGTGTACATACGAGGTAATGTTAGCCATATTTGATGCCATCTTGTTAGCATGACAACCACACATTTTCTGTCTTCTGTTTATAGTTGCCTGAGATAGTTTCTACATTGCTTGTTAAAGGCTTTATTCTCGAATGTGCAATATCGACTGTTTTATGTGTTCGAGATTATCATTGCTAGGAGGAACGCTGCTCAGTCTGAACGTAATGTTGGAGTGTCCTGTTTTGGGTTAAGATTTGGTGTCGTGTTACCAACCATTTTCGTTTAAATCAAGAATTGTAGTGTTACCAATGTAGTGCCAATTTTATTTTGTAGTGAAAGTTCAAGAAGCAACGAAAAGATACTTGCAAATATATACAGTTTTATCGTAGTTGCACTAGATATTAACGTCTAGGATACCCGTTTATAATTGTTTGCTTCATGTCTACGCACACTTGAAACTCCTTCTCTAAGAGATGGAATATTGTGAGACTAACGATGATACGTAACGGGCCAAAGCAGACAATATCTACTAGTGGTAGGCTTGGGCTGTTACAAATGTTATCAGAGCCAAACATCGGGCGATATGCCAGTAAGGACGCTGCGCCCCAAGGGGGGTGGATTGTGAGATCCCACATCGGTTGGAGAGGGGAACGAAGCATTTTGAGTGTGGAAACCTCTCTTCAGTAGATGCATTTTAAAACCATGAGGCTGATGACGATGCGCAATGAGCCAAAGCAGACAATATCTGCTAGCGGTGAGCTTGAGCGGTTACAAATATTGATCTTCGTGACTGGATATTATTTCCTTCCTAATTGACTGGATTATTCTACGTTCTTAATTATTTTTGTTCTATGTTCTTATTTACTTTTACATGTACTGTTTTCCATGGTAAGACATTTCTTTTTATTGCAGTGGAATGATTCAATAGATGATTTACCTGAAGGAAGTCCTGCCAGCCGGCTTCACCTTCATAGTCCCAAGAGAAAGGCCATTTCTCCCTTAAAGAAGTATGAAGAAACCAAAGCTGTTGGCAGAAGGCGGTGTAAAAAGTGGAGCTTGCTCGAAGAAGACACCTTAAGAACTGCTGTGCAAAGGTACTCATTTTCTTTATCAATCAATCCCTATTGAGACTGCTCGACCTTGGAAGCTAATTCGCATCTAACTTTTTAGTTAGAAACTTAAAATTGTGCGATGGTTGATGCTTGCTGCCCTTTTATAGCGTTGCGAAGTCGTTCTAGTAACTCAAAAATTGTTGTCTATTGAGTAGAAAATCTTGTTTGTTTGTGTTTGTAACTTAGGTTTGGTAAAGGAAATTGGAAGCTCATCTTAAATAGCTATCGTGATATATTTGATGAGAGAACAGAGGTAACCAATTTCACAAGGCTCTTCTACGTTCCTTTGTCTTTTGAGTGTCCATAGCCGTTTTGTAATGAGGTCTCGTTGGGTTGTTTGTCTCAGGTTGATCTGAAGGATAAGTGGAGAAACATGACCAGATACTAGTGGCTTTGCAAATCATGATCCAAACCGCAGATTGCATTGAATTATAGGTTATTTCTATACTTTTGAATACTCTTGAGCCTGAAACTAAATTATATGCCCCCTTGGATTTTGATTGCAATGTGGAAAAAAGTTGAAAATAGCGATGGAAATGAAAATGTTGAAGATGAATGACATATTTGGTCACTGTCTAAATACCACGTCTATTCAATTCTTTGAACCTTAAAATATGAAGGGTATGTAAAATCCAACACAAAGATTTTGAATTTTGGATGAACGAGCATAATTTATTAGTCGGGTAGATGAATAAGAATTTGATAGTGTCGATAGGATGATGATAGATCAAGTTTTGGAGATTGATGATTAGTTTATCTGATTATACTACTTTATTTGAATTCATCTTATCGATTATTTGATTGTAAACTACTTTATTCGAAAACCTACAGCCAAAGTTGCAAGCCTGAAAGATATGCTCAGATGCATTTCTATAGCGAAGTTTTAGTTGAAGGACGAGGACAAGACTTTAGAACAGAGACTTGCTAGAAACAAATTTCAGAAACTAGAGATAGACAATTTCTACCAATGACTGCACAGTCTAAGCAAAAGCAAATACACCCACAACATGTCATTTAGTACAAGCCAGAAAAAAAACGAAGGCTAACACGATCGGCATCCCGAGATCGAACACAACTCATTTCATTCCAACAAAGCTGCAAGCCACCCATGAACACACCAAGACTCCATATGCTGAAACAAACAACGCACCGAAACCCGGTTGAAGAATCCCCCTTAAGAATATAAAAGAAAAGAATTTGGTCCTTAAATACAAATCAAATGAATGATAATTGAAGTGGAGGAGAAACTCTCTAGATAACTGGAGGTCGATCTATGAACAATATACTAAATCACATGAATCATCAACAAGTCAGTTGGGTCAAGCGTCAGCCGCCAGTTTTGTATCAAAAGGTTGTACTGCTTTCACTAGCAGAGAGAGAAGGGTCCTCGGATTTCACAAGCGACGATCCTTTACTACTGATATCGAGACCCTGTAATCGACCGAGAGGGTCGCTTTGTAGCACCTCCGAGAGAGAATGAGAGTCTGATGGATGCAGAGGATGGCTAGACACGTTGGATGGGGAATGGTTATATGGTGGCATTTGAATGTTTTGAGGGCCAGCAGACCCTGGTTGCTGTGAAAGTTGAATGAAAGACGATGGGGCGTATGCCATGTGATGCATTCCCAAGTTAAAAGACTCGGAAGGGCTCATCATTTCTCCAGTAGCAATTTTAAGCCTCTCAACTTCCTTCTTCAATGCTTCGTTCAAAGCTGCATAAAGTTGAGCACAATTTCAATCGAAGTTTCAAATATCAACATTTGTTCATAAGTTTTTTGAGCTTTACAATCACACATAAAGTTGTATAATTCTCACCATCACGCATTTGGGCTTGTTGCTCCATAGCCTGCAAACGAAGCTTAAGCTCTGTATTCTCAGTACTGAGACCCGTTGTGTCTCGCTGTATAAGATGATAGTTCTCAATCAGATCATAGTTCTAAGCTGATCTCTAGTCAACATAAATATGCAAGGTGTGAATCTAAGGGATGAAAACATGAGAAAAGAATATAAAGAGAAAGGATTGGATTTCCAGTATCTAACTAATAAGAAGAAAGGGTCCTATCTAAGCTCTCTCGTCGTAAACCTACCGCTTAAAAGCTGCCTTACCTTCTATGTAATTAATAAAGCCTAAAGCCCTTGACTAATAGAAAAGAATTTTCTTGCTTATGTCCATTTGAGCTCCTAGAAGCGGAATTGGAATCAGTTGCAGGCTATAATGTAGAATATTCGCGGGATACGATCCTTAATAGTCTACTGTTGGCAGAAACCAATGTCCTCGGGTCCCAGAACTCATTCCGACTGAAACAAGGGGTGAGTCTTCATATAGTTAAAAGTCAAACTAGCGAAATGATAATTTAATGGTTAGAACATCATTTTGGTCCTTATATTTTAGGTTCCATTTAATTTTACTTTTTGTACTTCTACATGTGCCATTTAACCCGATGTACGACCAACACATCAAGCCTTCACCCTTGTTACTTTTAACCTTTTATCAACGAAGAACACGATTTTCAAGCAGATTATTGCAGTAACTTTCTGTATCCCTAGCCACAATTGGAATGCATTCTGGATGAATACAAGCTCAGTTATATATTGATAGACACAAACCTGGAAGAGAGTCAATTGGGCTGATAGAGTAGTTGCTTCCGTTTGAAGGGTTTGCACCTTGCGCTCCAACTCTTGTATATATCGTGCCTTCCTCTCTTTTGAGCGAGCAGCAGACTGTCGATTTGCCAATATCCTAAACATAACAGCAATGACATTAGGAGAAGGTTTTCCAGGAATTCCAAGATTTTGTTGATTATGATGAAGAAAATCATACAATACAATGAATTCATCTTCTTTCATCACCCCTACTTCTCCCAAGAGTGAATATTGATGCCAAAAAGAGGAAACAAACAAACAAAATAAATGATTGATTACAATAAACACTTCAACTTTACCATTGATTCTTTCCCAGATGATAACTCATCTAGATACCATATTTAACCACAATGCATGAACCAAATACAAAGATTGAGGTGCAAGAATACATTTCATGTAACGGTCCAAGCCCAACGCTAGCAGATATTGTCTTTTTTGGACTTCCCCTCAAGGTTTTTAAAACGCAGTCGGCTAAGGAGAGGTTTCCATGCCCTTATAAAAATGTTTCGTTCTCCTCCCCAATCTACGTGGAATCTTTCAAAAGTTTGACGTTCTTAACCTATTTTTATCTGGGCGTCTTTCCAATTAGAAGCTTTACTCAAATCAAGTAAATGATTATAAAGGTGTGAAAACTCATGTTGGTTGGAGAGGGTTCATAAATGTCAGGCAGCAGCATGGTTTGAGATCTCATCTTGGTTGGAGAGGAACAAAGCATTCTTTATAAAGATGTGAAAACTTCTCTCTAGCGTTTTAAAAATCTAAAGGGAAAGCCCGGTAGAAAAAATCCAAAAAAGACAATATTTACTAGCGGTGAGCTTAGACAGTTAACCTTAGATTCTAGACTGAGAGATTGTCAGACTGATGAACATACTATTAACAAAAATTTGAAAATGAATGATGCTTGGATCTGGGATTGCAAACGAAACATTCAAATGAAAAGAACAAAAAATTGAAGTCAGATCCCTCTACCCCTCAACTGGATACTAGAAATTTTACCAAACCCAATTGAAAAATGAAAAGATTTCAGACATCAGTGTACGAAAATGAAAAGTAGGAAACCAGTGATTGATGTTGAATCAGCTTAAATTATGAATTACAAGTACAACAAGCTTGATATCTCATTGACAAATCTAGCTTTGGTGAAAAGCAAACAGAGATGCTGAAAACTTCTGTGGTGGAAGTAGTTAGCCAATCAATTAGCCTAAACGAAGAGTAGTTGGCGCTCACCATAGCAGAAGATTATGATCATTTCAACAATCATAACAGAAAATTACTGGAAATACGAACTCAAAAGCATTGCGACAATCGAACAAAAATGGATCGAAAGCGAAACAATTACTCAGAAGCAAGAACAGAGACAGAAAGCACAATTGGAATGAAGAAATACCTTTTGGCGCGTTTGGGATCACTGCTCCAAAGCTCAGCCAACTTATCAGGAGGCATGGCTTTCTTCGCTTCCATAATCTCCCCAAACATGCTCGACGACGACGTTGTTCCGTCCACCGAAACGCTATGCCGATGCCTTGGCTTCGAAGTCTTCTCTTCCTCATTACCACCAGCGCCTTCACTTCCACCATTGGCATCATGATCCACGAAATTTCCTCCTCCATTACCTCCAAACTTCTTCACGTCAATGTAGGTCGAAAATAGATCATCCTCCGATCCGATCTCCTCCAGACTGGCCGTCGACGAACCGCCGTTGAACGGATCCGACGCGGATATATCCATCATGTCCTCCTGCAACCGGAAGCTAACTTCCGAATGAGCCCTCCGATGATGAGACCCCGCTCTAGGCACGAATGAGCCATTGCCGGCATTCGCAAACATCGACGAGGAGGCCGTCGCATTCGCCACCGGCGGCGGTTTGTGAGCCGCCGGCGGCGGCAGTGCAGCATGGAGTGGAGGAATTTGATTGGAATTTGGACTGTGGATAGGGTTTGATGGCGCTGGATCCTGCATTTTTTTTCTTTTGCCCCCAATTTTAGAGCTCTCTCTCTCTCTCTCTCTCTCTGCTATTTTTCGGGCGAGTATTTCTCTCTAAGATCTCCTCGTCTGAGCCATGTGCTTCGGCTTCATCTTCTCAGGAAAATTAATAAAAAGTTTTTTTTTAATTTTTTTTTTTTTTCATTTTTCATTTTTTTCTTTTATATATTCGTTTTTTTTTGAAACTGGGAAAGCGGAAAAGCTCCTCAAAAGAACTGTCATTTTTATTTTATTTTATTTTATTTTTGACTTATTTTCTAAATTTCGACTCTACTGTTTATTGTTAGTTTCCCTTAACGGCGTCGTTTAATGCTTAAAATCATTTTGACATTAGTAAGTCGTTGGCTTTTGACTTTTGAGAATAGTGGATAAGTCTCCTTTGCATATCTTGCCACCATTTTTTTTTTGTCATTAATAATTTTTCAAAATTATCTTTTTAATTTTAAATTTTAAAAGTTAATTAAAAACAGGAAACCGAAGCATATGGAAACAACAAATTAATGAAAATGTAAAAAAAGTCGTGCTCTTTCTCCATATTTGGCGAGATCATTGCCATTGATTTGGAAGTTGAAATTATTTGTTTTGTATCATTTTTAGTAATCTCCAAATTTAGGAGTTTGATTTAATTTATCCTATGTATAGTTGAAGATTTCCATGTATATATATCTCCATAGAAATGGTATAAAATGTCTCGTATTAATAAAGATATTTATTATCAGATATATATAATTTTCTTAATTATTGAAAAACTTTGTTGGCATCTGATAATAATAATTTAATTTAGACCTCTTACTTTAAAAGAAATAATATGTGTTATCATTATGCTAACGTTGGCAATTTAACATATATTTTAAATATAACCGACATCAATTTTGAAAAGAAAAAATGTTAACATTGAACTTTATAATTATTCGTCTTAGATTTAAATTTCATTAGGGTCCTCCAAGTTAATTTTTTTTTCTCTTTTAAAATATTTATTTACTCTTTGAATATTTAAAAGTAATATAATTGGTCCTCACCTTTATTTTAATTTAAACATATTAATAATATATTAGATCAAAATAAGATTAAATATTCTTATAGCTATTATTTTTATAATATGTTATTTATGTTATATTAGATACCTACCTTAAATTTTTCAACATAAGAACAAGTGATCTTTGATTAATCAAACAAAGGCGTCGAAACATCAAGTCTTCCCTATGTTACCGTTTTAAAGTGGGAAAATGATTGTTTTTTTTTTTTTTTTTTTTTTTTTTTTTTTTTTTTTTTTTTTTTTTT